CACAACATGTAGGCAGGGATCGCCAGTGTTCAGAGAATACTAGGAAGCATCGCTCTGACATTTTCCCATATTGGGAGTTTGAAGACAGCATGACACTTACCATGACATTTACCTTTCCAAGTGAAAGAAGGTTATCCTGGCTCTGCACATGAGAGACAAGACAGCCGTCAGAAATTATCCTTTTTGTGTGTGGCCAGTTTCCTGCAGGTGCGTTTAAGTCCAGAGTCCAGAATTTATGAGATATACAATTTTTCAACTAGATGCAAAACTGAAAGCATTTCATTTCAAACAGTGTTGCTAAAATAATGTCAATGGCAGGGATTTGCTTGCATATATGTATATATGAGGAAATATATGTAATATATTCGTACTTGTAAAGTTGATGGTAGTTTGCCTATTCTTAAAACATTCATCCTAAAACACTGTTTAATCTCCAATATGTAAATATGAAGCTTTGGGGAAATGCATGAAAATGTCAGGATTGTTATTTTTATTTTTTTATGCCTGCTTTCTTTTAATTTTTGGCAACAGCACATATCAATTTTTATAATTAGAACAAAAGGAAGTCTATTTTTTAAATTCATATATTAGGTAATTTGGGGTTAGCAGTAATGTTTAGTATTGTAGTCTTTTACTTTTCCCCTAATTTTCTATTTTTCCATTTCTTCTTTTGAATATCTCTAAGGAAGACACTCTGGATTATTGTTGATAGATTAAGAATAATAAACATAATTTTTAAATTACAATCTCCATAATAGCAGTAATAGAATCTGTAACTAGAAAATTGCTTATTGGAATTGCATACTTTAAGTATTTTGTGCACCCAAAATTAATCTCGGAAAAATCCTAGCAAAGATGTCATTTAATAGCATTGAGTTAACATTTAATAAGAATTAGAGTGATGCTACAGCTTATAATCCTAATAAGATCTACAGAATAAAAAGAAGTGTATATACATGAAATCTGTAGGTTAGTTTTCCGCAAAGATAAAAGGAACAAAAGCATTTGTTCCCAGTGTGCTCATGAGTGAAGTTACGGATGACTGAGTCTTACTGACCATTACACACTGAAGAAAACATTGTTCAAAAAGTTTACTTAGATCCAGACTCTGTGATTATACTGAGAAGTGACTGCTTCTCAAAACTTAAATGATATAAAATAAATAAATAAGTACAATAAAAACTTAAGTGATATAAACAACCTGCCTTTATGGCCATCAGTGAGGGGGACCTGGGAGAGAAGGAAGCACACAGGCTGGGAGGCAGCTCAGCCACATGCTAGCTTTGAGGCCGTGGCTAAATCACACCATCTCTGAGCCTCACTATCTACCTAGCAAAGATATTTTGTACCCCACAGAGCTTTCATGCAATCGTATAAATAAAAATAAGTAAAACAGCTAGCCAGAGTGCCTAGCACATAGCAGCTTCTCCAAATAATTTAGTTCCCCTCCCTATGAGACCAGCCTGCAGCCACTACCTCCTCATCCAAAGACATCTGGTAGCTTCACAGCCTGAGAAGATCCTGTGATTTCAGTACTTTATATTCTGTTGTTTATATACTATATTAACAGAGAAAAGTGAGCCAAAATTGGGTTTTCTTAATAAATGTTAGTATCACTCACTATACTACCTGTGTTTCATTCATTTACGCCTGGTCTTATAATGGAAGTTAATAAAAAGATTATTTTCAAGAATTATTATTTGTTAGAACAGCTATCACTTTATATATTTCACTGGTGAGGAAACAAAATGATAAAAGAAACCAAGAAGTATTGAAGAATTTCCTACAGCAAATCACCAAGAAAAACGGAAATTTCTCCATATGGTGATGTTTTCCAAACAGTCAAAACCATCTCAAGAAATTCAATAAGGAAGTGGGGAAAGGTGATTGTGAAGTATTACTTGGAAAGAAAATGGCTGAAATAAATTCCTGGCGGGTGTCCCAATGTGACAATCGACTTGTAATGTTTCTCTGTTCTTTTCTGTTGTTACTAAGAATTACATAGAAGCATACAGGCTTGATGGAATCTAAATCCACTTATATGCTTGAGTGTGTATTTCATTGTTGCCATCTCCGTGTTGTTTCAGATAATAAATTAATACTGAGTCTTTGGTGTGGTTATATTTAGAAAATTGAGCTTGAAGTCTCGATAATTATGCACATATAGTTGTTACAATGTATTAAGCCACTGACTTCAAAAAGGAAAAAACTTGCATGGGTTGTATTACTGTAGGCCCTACAGAGCTGCCGATAAGCAAAAGTTGTATAGTTCCATGAATTGGCAAATCAATTATTAGCCAGGTTCTGAATTCTAGAAGTGTTACCCCACAAGATAAATGGACAAGTCAGAAATAACACAGCTTGATTTTAAGATACTAGGTGGAGGTGGCAATATGGTCTAAGGGAAATATTGCTTTGGTATATGAGTGTATTCATTTGATTTGGCATTGGTTTTAGACACTATATCTGGAACCATGGAGATGTCATTGTGGCAGACCTTCCCCTTCTGTTCTCAGACTGTACCACACTTGTAAAACAGCGAGGCTCATGGGGTAATAACTCAAAAGCCAAAAGGCTATAAAGAAAAAAATTTGCTAGCAGGCACTAACATGGGTGTCATGACTCTTTTCAGGTAGTAGGTGTAACCTTGAAGAAAAAGTGGCACTGTCTTCAAAAAAGTGACCTGACCCTGGCTTTGGTGGGTTTTTCTGCAAGAAATAAAAAGCACCGCATGTGTTTATTATACATCCTTTCTAGCTGACCACTGCTTTGTTCTAGAGTTCAGCATGAAAGGACTAATTTTTGTTTTGTTTTTGTTTTTTGTTTTAGTGAAATGGCATGTCCGTTGCTAATTCTAGCTATAATAGTTGCACATGTGAAAAATATCTATATATAGTTTATGATTGGTAGCATTTCAAATAAATGGTATATTGAAATATTGACCTGAAATTTTTTGAGATGCTTATCAATTGACATTTTTTTTCTTAGCCCGAGAACAGATTCTGAATTATTATTATTATTATAAAATTATACCTTGTAATATTAGATTTGTTCTTTTAAATATATTAGGAATTAAATATAAGCATGCCACTTTGTTTATTGCTATATTATTAGAACTTCTTGGAGCATGGAAAGAATTCTTCACAAATGATTTTGCTCTTTTTCAAAAAATAAGCTGCAAAGATATTTGTTAAACTATATTTAGTCTATAAATGAGCATAGCTTTTAAAGCTTTATCACTTTATAGTATGTAATGTTTCATCCAAATAATTTTTATATTTTGAAAAAATGTTAAATAGTTTCATAGTGCCATAATAAATATTTCCCCAGAATTCAGAATTGTATGCATCTCTGTTTTAAGAGGTTCACATTGCTTCATAAAGAAAAAACTTGGGATCGTTATGCGCCCCAACTTGTTATGCAGTAGATCATTGTTTTTCTTTATTTTTCCAGAAGTCAGTTATTCTAAGAATTGTGGCCATATACACTTTTCAGAACACAAATGGAAATTACTATGTTATATGTGCTAAATAAAAGCTCAGTAGTTGATATTCTATCGTGGAGATAACACATTATCATTCAATAATGCTAGTTCTGTTGAGTCAAAATAAACCAAAGAAACTTTCAGCATCGTAAAGAGATTCACACATTTTAAAATCTAGTAACTATAGAGAAAGTGTTTCTTTGTTTTCATTAAAAAAAGCCTGCCACTCATTACATTTTAGAAAGTCAATGCCAGAGAAAATAGACAGTTTTGCTTCCTAGAATAAACCTACCTTCTAAATACTTAAATCCCTGTGGGAGCCCAAGATCATAATGTAATATTCCATCCTTTTTTGCTGCATGGAAACTATCAAGATTTATCAATCTCTGGAGTTAATATTGACCCTAGCTCTTAATTCCCTTTCAGTTAACAAGCCCCCATATGTCCATTTTTGTATCTTTGCCTATGATATCCCTATATGCTACATTTGTATTTTAAGTAGATTTACAACACAGATGCTTATATGTGCTCTTAGTATAAAATTAGTTTCTCTAAGGAGGCTTTGCCCAGAGACCTGAGAAAATGGAAGTTTTGTTTTTAAAATGTTTAAAGATTATTTAATTTTTACATAGTATAAGATGTTTCTAATTGGGTTGGGAAGGTGATATTTTGTTTTGTTTTTTCCATTATGCCACATCTACTCACAAAAACTTATAATATGGTAAACTAAAAAGACAGATAGCCAGCATACCCCTTTACAGTCCAAAATTATGCTTGTATGATACAAAAAAAATGGGATATATAATCAGTGCTTCAATTATTAATCATCCTTTATTTATACCTAGATTTTTGGGATTCTCCAATTAAAAGGCATTTCTAAAACTCTACTAAAATTTTTTTGGTCTCAGAAACATTGAGAGTTGAAAAATTTTTCACCAAGGTCATATCATCTCCACAAAATACACAAGCTGGGTGAATTTCTGGGATGTTAGGCCATTGAAGGATTTTTAGAGGTTTTATGACACTTTTACTCTTTTTATGCCCGATGCACTCAAAAATGACAGACGCCAGGGACCACCCAGCAATATCCCTCTGTGGGAGTCAGACACTGATCCTGATGCCTATCTCAGACTCCTCAGTGTCATGCAAAACACTTAAGGATGTTATAGGCACAGTTAGTAAATGAGCATAATAGGCAATCCATAGTGTTTTTAAATCGATACTAAAAAATTATGTTCATGTCATGTAAATTGCCTTAAAATATACATATAAAATACTATGTTAAAATTAAATATAATATGTCAGCTGTAAAGGTGAAAAATTAGCTAACTAAAAGTTCACAAATAATCTCTTTTCAGATTTTGTGTGTTTTCTCCTCAGCCAAAAGCCTCAAGATTCACTTGCAGCAGCCTACCTCTTCATTTATGTTGGATTGCTCTTTAAACATTAGAATATCTTGTAATAATAAGTTAAAGATTTCTCCTGACACAAGTCATTGTTGATTTCACTGTTATAGGGAAAAGGCTCTAGGGCGGCAGATAAGGCTGTTGCCATGGTGATGAAGGAGATACCGAGGGAGGAGTCTGCTGAAGAAAAGCCCCTCCTTACTATGACATCACAGGTGGGCAGACCCATAGGGTTCCTGTAGGAAGCTGACATATGTTAATATATCAGACATTGTGATTTTTAACTAGAAAAAAAAAAACATTAACTTGAACCAATTTTTAAAAAACACAGTTTCAATGAAACAATTATACAATATAAAATGAAAACCAAAATTGCTAAAAAAAAGGAAAATTCCATCATTTAGTTATTTGTGGATATTAATTTTCATTACTCAACTTTAGTTTAAAAAAAAAATGTATGTGCAAGTAAACCATGTTGCTTCTTTATAAAGGAATCTTGTTAACAACTTTGGGAAAGAAATAACAATTAAGCTAATGGTACATTTGAACAACAACAACCAAAAAAAAAAAAAAAATCAAATTCCTGTGAATAAATACAAGTTCTATTGTATACATATGTCAGTTTACCAGTAGAATATCTAAATTTTCTTAAATGTTAAATATATTTATGTTGTGACTATGCATACTACATATATGTCTATACATATTTATGTGGATAACTAATTTACAGGAATGAGCCAGAAGTCCCTGAGTCCCCATGCAGAAAATGGCATTTGTGACCCCTCTTATACTTAGTGACCTTGACAACAAAAATATCATCTCTACTATAAAGCGCATGAGAGCCATTTTCAGCATTTATTATAACAAAGATAGAAAAAAGTTTGCATTTGTATGCAAAGACACGCTGAGACTGTGAATCCTGTATGTCCTCAGGGACTTTTGAAACACCCTGTAAAATCCACATAAATATGTATAATATACTCATCACCACTCTGTGGAACTATCAGTTTTAAATTCTTAAATGAAAAATATTTTTACTTGCATTTATCTTATAATTTAGATTAGATTGTTATCTTAAACATTTTTTTCTCTATAATGCAATAGTAAATGCAGTGATTCAGTTCCAATTATATGAACATGTCTAGAATAAGAAACATGTCCATTTACAGTCCTCATGAAAGGCATTTATATCAAAAGCTAAATTATGGCAACTTATTTTTAGAATATCATCAGATCACATCCCCAGCTGCTGCCAACATGTGTGGTTTTATTTTATTCTAAACACTGTGTTGTAAGTAATGAAAATCATAACAACATACAACAATCAAAATTGAATAATAAAAAAGTTATCAAAGATTCCTAGGACTTTGGGATAAATTTTATATTGTGAGTTTTTTATCCATAAGGAAGAGAGGCTTCTTTCCAATCACACACAGTAGTAGTTAGAAAGAAATTTGCTTTATATATACCAAGGTCTCCATTCTTTACTTAATTTACATAGTAAAACATATACAGTTTTACATTGATCTCCTGCCCTTTGTAGAATCCATGTCCAAAATATTCAGCTCACAATTCCTCAGGTAAATGCTATGGGAGGTGAGAACTAGCTGGGAGTCCTTGGTTAATGACAGCCGTGTTCATCAGTAGATAAGAGCTACTCAGATTTGCCATTGGCGTAGTTGTGCTATAACATATCATTCAGAATATCACAAGTTAGGACAGGTTCCAGTACCCAAAATTCTTTTCCCTAAACCATGCATTGCTATGTGCTTTCCAGTAATCCCTTTCAAAGGTCCAAAATTGCCATTATAACCTAAGCTTGAATTTGAAAAATAATGCAAAATATTATTTTTGATTTTTTAACTTAGAAAAGAAATTGTGATTATTACCATTTTTCATATTCAGAACATTTGTGTGTAGCAAGTTCCTTCTTTAATCCCCATCTAATGTTGCATTGACTATTTTTGAGGTACGAGTTACAATTTTACTGCATGAAGATTATGTAATGCTTTCTTTGATGCATCCTATTCTTGTTGCATACTGGCTAGTTTATGAATCAGCAAACAGAGTTCTGATTCATAAAATGCAATGCACCTGTTGTGTTGATAATTTTATGGAACTAAATCAGTGACAGCTGTGATACAATGATTTCTCAGTCAAATGACGCTTTACTAGTTGACATACTTTTTCCACTGTATACAAGTGGCTTCTTCCCTACTATGCACCAGTGGTGTGCACAAGCCAAAAAGCAGCCGAATGATCCAAAAAAGTGAGTACTCCTCATAGCAACCATAGCATCCAATCTGTGTACCATACCACATTCTTACCTGTTATCCTGTGTGAATGTTATCAGTGTCTTGAAATATGTTTGTCCCAGCATCTCCTGTAAAGCCCCTTATGACATGGCGCTACATACAACTGAATACATTGACTCATCTTCATCACTGGTACGTCGATGCCAGTGGCTCATTCATAGATTCCAGATATGTCCGAAGCTCATTGCTGCTCTCTCAATAATGTCCTTAGGACAATCATAACTGGTTAAATACGAAACCAGTTCTTGAAACCCTGGGTCCCCAACTCATTTAATAACTGTGTTCAGTCAACAGGTTGTAAGTGTAGAATAGTTTATATTGAAGCATTTTTTTTTGTATTATATGATGATTACAATCACTTTCAGAGGGATTGGCCCAAACATACTCCAGTGAAGTCATTTATAGTGCACTGAATGAATTGAACTAAAACAGAAGGGTTGGCCGGGTGACCTGAATTCAGAAATTTCTGGGCCCCTGAAAGTTGCTTTTTGTTTAATTTAATTATTAATTCTATATTAACAAACAATATGTCAAGCACTTCATAGAAGCTCAGGTTCATGCTGTCCTAGACTAACACTTTAAGACAAGCGTATGTAAACAAGAGTGCACTGATGAAAGGTCTGAAGGAAAAATAGTATGCCCTCAAGTCTTTGGGGGAAAAAGTTTCTCTAGGCCTGGGCTGTCCAACACAGGAGCAGCTGGTCATACGTGGCTATTGAGAGCTTTGTGGGTCCCCACAATTGAGATGGGCTCAACGTATAAAATACACACTTGATTTTGAAGATTTAGCCCCAAGAAAAGGAATATAAACTATGGCATTAATAATGTTTACATTGATTACATGTTGAAATGATCATTTTTGGATACACTGGGCAAAAAAAAAAAATACATTCTTAAAATTATTTTTCAACTGTTTCTTTTCCATTTTTTGTAAGTGGCTACTAGAAAATTTTAAATTATCAGTTTCTCATGGTAGTTCTATTGTACAGCATAAAGACTGTAATAATATGAGTTAATCCAACTTGAAGATAGAAGGAACAGCTATGTGCCAAAGGATTGATTATATCATTAAAAAAATTATTATTCTTTATGAGAATAAAATTATGTTAGCGAATATTTTTTTTCTCATAAGGAACCATCAAAAGTTTCCATTTTAACCACCTCCCCTGGTAGGTGGGTTTTTTTTAGCAAGATATATATCATTCATTTTTTGCTGTAGAGCACCGTATCTTAAAACTGTTTGTTTCGGATGTCTTCTCGCTAAGGGAATTTTTTTTTTTTTTTTTTTTGCAAACTCAGCCTTGTGTTTTTATCTGCCCCCACTCCTTATACCTTGATACTGAAATTATTTTTGTGTCTGATAAACATAAAAAGAGTAACGACCTTGACTGGAAAAACATTCTCAAGGCTACTAAATATAGCCTTGCTTGGATTTCTATGACCAACCTGAAACAACTGCTTTATGTTCTCCTGCCTGCCACAGTGTTAGTACTACCCAAGCTGTAAACAGTAATATCTGTTCATTTCCCCATGAAGAGATTCACATTTTTTAAGTCTAACTTTTCTGTCAAGAAAATAGATAGAGTCGATTGACATTTAGATCAAGTCAAAGAGTTGAAAGTGATTGCATGTCTATCCTTCACTAGAAGCCCCCCTGGGACCCATGTGTAGGAAATGGGGTGGCGGGAGGGGAGCAGAGCAGAACCATTAGTACTATTACCAGCTCACAAGAAATTAATTCTCTCGGGTGTCAGAGTCTACTATGACAAAACTCTCAAAGTCTGAATACTTAAAGGAGGGCATGCTAATGATTTAGTCAGTCGTCTCGTCTTTTCAATGGATTGAGTCAGTTAACAAAACTCATCATTAGCTCTGATAGGGTCACTATTTTGATGGGCATCACACAAATTTCTAAACTTGCATAGGACTAATAGAGCCACAAACAAGTAGTGCAGTTACAAAATTATGGATGAAAACCTACTTAAAAATGACACATACTTTAATCAACAATGTCACAAATAATGAGGGAATATTCAAAATGCATTAAAATGTACCTATTAAAATCATATTTATATTTTACATAGAAAAAAATCTTAATTTTTTTCTATTATTTAAATGAGGTAAGAGACATGGTAAATTATTACAAATTTTTTAAGTCAACAGTTCAGCTATGAGATACTTGTCAACTGTTTTTCAACTTACTAGCTTCAGTGTTTTAACTTTTTAAAATTATTTTTAAGTACTAAAATGTTTAAAAATAAACACAGAATATTTACTTTAAACTAAAACAACAGTTTGAGATCATCAACCTGAAGTGTAAAAGTATGGGATAATGGATTATTACCATTGACAGACCTTGTTTTATCATGTAAAATGTATTTTGGTTTGGAGTTAATTCTTAGTGATAGAGGTTATCACAAACCCTTAGCTCTATATTTTTTAATGAAATACCTAAGCAATACATTGTTTAAAGGTAAATAAACTTAGATTGAAGTCACAAAACAAACTATATAAACATACACTGGAGTTTAAGTAACAGGCAGTATTTAAAGGCAAAATACTCTACTTTCATCTTGGTTAAATATTCCCCTGTAGCTTAGATGACATAATAATGTAATTTTTTAACACTGCAATTAGAGAAATTCAAGTTGAACTAAGGCAAATGCATTTTTAGATAAAGTTTTAAAATAGACAATAATTTATTAAAGCTGGATGTGATCGTCTGCATTTCTGCACAATACTAAACACAGTACTGATAATAAAATAAGAACCAATTTGGTCATGTGGTGGCTAATATTAGCCACTGTCTAAGTCATAAGTAAATTGAAGGCATTTGACTGAATATTTCATTCACATCCTATGATTACAAGGAAAATGTAAAGGTTCAATAGTCTGTTGAATTCTCCATGACCAGGAAACCCCTCCATGTAAGTGCTCAACTGTCTTTTTACTCCTGCGATTTCCTTTTGTTTCCATGCCCACTGACCGTGTAAGGGTTTTCCCTCGAAGTCTTCAAATTTGGATCTCTGATTTAAAATCCCCGAGTGAGGTGGTAGTGTTGTTTTGGAGTGTCACTGGCCTCCCATATACCTTGGTCCATCTCCTTCTTCCAAGGATGGCGTAAGGCAGACCTATGCCCTTATTTTTCTCATTAGGCCTTCACTCTTTGCATCCTTGACTGTTTGGTAGAAGCCTGGCATTTGGAAATGAACCTTTAGTAACTCTAGTTTTCCAAATTTTTAAATGATGTGACGCTGGGGGAAAATGGGCTTAGATTTATGGTTTAAAGCCTGCCAGGGAATTGGTAAACAGTTCTGAGGACCACCGGCCTCTCAGTGAGTTGATCAAACCCAGTATGAAATTGAGGATGCTCCAATTCTTTTGTACAATTTAGCATTCAGTTTGACAATAAATCAGTCAATATTTATTAAACTGCTGCTATGAGATACAAAAGTTAACTGGATAAGATCTGTACCCTCAAAGAGGTGATAGTCTAGTAGGGGAAAAACAGGTAACACTAAAGTCTAAGACTGGATAAAACCTGGGAATGTGGAGATGCTGTAAGAAGGCCCTCACTGCCTAGTGCTGAAGAAGGTTCCCAGACGATGTGCCAGTGGAATGGGGTTCTGGAAGAGAAGTAAGAATCTGTCACCATTAGAAAGGCTTGAACTGATTTAAATATTGAGAGGAGGAACAGAGGAGGATAAGAAATGAAAAAACAAAGTGAGGAGACAAAGGCCCTACAAACTAATGAAGTGGGTCATTTTAATTCAGATATGATAATCTGATTGATCCAAATTGCAATCATTCTAACTTAATTATTTAAAAAAGTGGCAACGTTTTGACTCACCTTTTATTATTTTTATAACATCAATATACTCTGTACTCAAAGGGTGAAATGAGGTAAGTTCATAAAGCATTTTCAAACGGAAGGAAGTAATTCTAAGAGAAAGTCAATAAGTCATATCCTACCACTGAATAAGGAGAGAATAAATGGCATACAATTTGGAAGCAAAGCTGAGGGGAACTCTTTGGGGGATTCGTTCAGTTTGCAATTGTCCTTTATGACCTAAAAGATTTATTTATTCTCCAGTCACCATAGGAAAACCATAAATTTGTTTGAAAATGAGGAGGGGTCCATGTGAAAAGTTATTCCTATCTATACAAATAAAAATAAAATGAGACTTAGTCTGGCTAAAATAATGATTCCCAAACTCATCCACCTGAAGACACAATTCAAAATTGGAATGTTTGAGATAGATATTTTTATATCCTCAGTTTCTGCAAACCCACTGTCCCATTTGGTAGGCCTTTATTGATCCCCTCTTATATGAAAACATTCTGTTCGAAGTTGTGAAGGATATAAGTATGAGTAAGACCTAGTCTCTGACCTCAGAGCTTATAAGAAAAGGTTTCATGATATTTCTTGTTTCATCTTCCATATTTCCAACAAAACCAAAAAACTTTTAGTTCCCGAATTAGCTTTCCATGATCTCTGAAATATGACCCTTCATCTTTTTCACCCCAGAGACCTGCCACCATCCCCCACGCCAACCCCAGCATTTCCCAACAGACTGTGCGAAAAACACGGACTCAGAAAGTAGTTTGCTATTTCGCCTTTGATCTGTAACTATGTAAGAAAGCCACAGAAACAGCTCAGTTATGGGAATTGGGCAGACCTAACAACTCCCTCAGTCTGGGAATGACGTGTGCTGGGAAACTAGACAGTAGGTGTGGAAGAGATGCAGGCCTTATGAGGCAGAGGAGAAGCCGTGCCTCGGTCCTGGGCTCCCAAGGGTCCCTCCGAACAACCTTCCCTTTAGTATGTCTTTCTTCCTGTGCTGAGAAAATCTGAGAATGCTACATGTGCTTTCTCCAGAAAATAAGTCTGAAGTTTCATGAAGAGAGAGGCTCCAAAGAAATCCTATTGCCTTTGACAGACCTGCCTAAAAGGACAAGGCCTCTCAATGAACTGTGCCTTTTCCTTTGTCTTTCCATTTAGATGTCTATGTCGACAAGGGCCCTTCTAGAAATCTTTTATCAAATTCAGACTATAATTTTTTAGTGTTTACAACTAAAATTATCTGTAGAGATCTAACACCCTGGTCTTCTAAAACTATAGCTAATTTAGGCCCGTTGCGCAGATCTACTCACAGAGCTGTGATACAGGAATAAATTATTAGTCCCTGTTTTTACAAAGGAATTTAAGAATATCCAAAATGAAGAAACAAATAAAGAAAATAACACTTAATTTTCATTTTATGCTTCTCTCAAAATATTGCCTTACAAATCTGGAGATTTTTAAGGCATATCTTTTTCTTAGAACAAGTAGAAAACTAGATGGCTATGCCCATTTTAAGAAAGGCTAATCTAAAAGCTCCTGAAAAACTAAGACAGTTAATTTAGGAATTAACCACTTGCATATCATGAGTATAGTTCTTCCCTTAACCATGGAAACAGGACCTAAGGAAGTCTGGATTCTAAGAGATGCAAAATAACTGAAAGTAAATAATTCGCTGCCACTGATAACTAGAGACCAACCAAAAATTGCACTGAAGGATTTCTGAAATTAGAGAACAAGCCAATGGGACAAGACAACTGAATTGATAGAAATCTATTTTATGTATAGATTTTCAGAAATATATCTACTGGATACCTGCACAGGTAATATAAGTATTTCCTACTCTCCCCCAAATAATGCTTGTCATGCACCACAAAAACATCCCAAGGAAATGTAAGGAAGGATATGTGCCCATAGATGACTTGAGCTTTTTAAGAGAGAGAGGAGAGGAGAACATTTATCCACATACATACAGATCTGTGTGTGCACTTAATCACATAACGCTGACTGCCCACCCTAACCAGAATGTGCCACCTCAACGTCTGAGGCCACTCTTCCGGGTCTCAGTAATGTTTTGTCCACGTAAACAGTAGGAACTGTGATGCAAGAGGTGTCATTTTCTACCTATTGAAATTTAGAGAATAATTCTAAAATGGTTCTAGGAGAAAAAAAAAGGCTTGAGCTTTAAAAACTGAAGTTGGCTGCATCAAAAATATGTTGACAGTGCTAAAAGGCTCATTCCCCATCCCTTGGTATTTTTTTTCTTTCTTGCCCCTCCCTATTTATTTATTTATTTATTTATTTATTGGTAGGCTTGCTATTCTCATTTTGTTGCAAGGCTGCATTGTAATTCATCTGATTCTGCAGTTTAACAAAGCCCTTTGATACCTGTGTTCATTTGTTCTCAGCTGGTGAATGAGCAGCAAGAAAGCAGACCCCTCTTGAGTCCCTCCATCGATGACTTTCTCTGTGAAACCAAATCGGAGGCAATAGCAAGGCCAGTAACGTCCAACACAGCCGGTAATTCTTTCACTTTTAACTGATCCTCAAGTAGAGCTAATTTTCACTACAGTGAAATGCATATTTTCTCTCTGTAATGCGTCTTAAGTGGAGAATAATGTTTGCAACCAAACAAAAGTTGAGGACATACACTATTTCACATAAACTAATACATCGCTTTGTATTCTACAAGAACCTGGAACGTATTTTATCCAACCAACTTGGCTGAACAATGGCGCACCACTATCAGCAATGAATCATTTCTCTATGCATATTTACATCTTTGCATCTCAAGTCACATTACAAGAAATCTTTCAAACAGAAGCATCTATTTCAGAGTAAGGTTTTTCAAAGTTCTGGCTGAAAATATTCTGTCTGACCAAAGACCAGTAAAATAAAAATGTAGGCAGCCCCTTCGAGTGGATTGAAATGACCAAATTAAAAGTCCTAGAGATTGGAAATGTTATAGAGCCAATTTCATTTTTCTGTCACGTAAATGTGTTACTTGTTTCCTCTTAAGACAATTTATTTGATTGGGCACCTGGGTGGCTCAGTCAGTTAAGCGTCTGCCTTCGGCTCAGGTCATGATCCCAGCGCCTGGGACCAAGCCCCGCATTGCATCGGGGGGGGGGGGGGGTCTGTGCTCAGCAGGGAGCCTGCTTCTCCCTTTCCCACTGCCTGCCTGTCTGCCTACTTGTGCTCTCTCTCTTCCTCTGTCAAATAAATAAATAAAATCTTAAAAAACAAAGACAATTCATTTGAACGTTCTTCTGGAATTAAACCTACCCAAATAGTGAACTCTCATCTGTATAGGCACGTACCTGTAGGCACTAGTGAGTATTCATCCAGTGAGTGGATGCAGGATGCCACTGGGATGAATCATACCTCCCCTAGTCCCCTCTGCATTTTCCAATTCTCACTGATGCTAAAACTAAGTCACTTAGTCAGGGTTCACCCTGACGGAGCTACATAAGATCTGATGCAAACACTACTTTTCACCTTCTGTATCAGAGGCAGCCTTTCTGCATTGATTTTATTCAGTCAGCGTTCACATTCAAAGGCATGTTGTTCAAATAAGGATGAAAAAATGCTGTTCGGAGTCAAAGAACAAAGGCCATGTTGGATTGCAGGAGAGGGTTTAATGGAGAAAGGAGAGAACGATTATGTACTGTCTTGTTCAGCGCATTCCATATCCCCATCATGTCCTCAGCTTGCTGTTTCCTGCTATATTTTCATTATACTTTTAAGTAAATGAAGAAAATCACCGGGGCGGGGGGTGGGGGTGGGAAGGAATTATAATTTTTTTCTTAAATGCTAAAAATTACAACAGCAAAAGTAACTAACACAAGATAGAGGCAGTTAATGCAGGAGTGTAGTCTATGGTCTCTGGGGTCAAACTTGGCAACGTCAAGCCCCAGCTGTGCCACTTAGTGGCTCTTGTCCTTGGGCAAGTTGCTTAACCAAGTCTGTTTCCTCATCTACAATAGCAACATCTATATCTCATGGGTTACTTGGGAAGATGAAATGAAGCAATCTATGTAAGCTCTAACAGATGTTACCATTACTGTTTTATCAGGTTACAAAAACAGTATACCCAGCACTTCCCTTTTCAGATGCATTAACTTTCTTTCTACCACACAAAAGCAATCATTTCTTAAATTCATCTCTCACTTTGAGCGATCAAGCAAATAAAATTGTATTTTGTACATTTAAGCAGGAAATTAACTAAGTTCAGATCCTACCAGATCAGATTTATCCCCCTTATCTATGAAACTGGAGCTCACCCCTCCAAAACTGGAGAGCTACCCTTAGAAAAATACAGAACAGACTTGTGTCTCTAATTTCAGGAAAATCCATGAGAATTGGATACATGGAGAAGTTCCCACTGTTCAAAAAAAAAAAAAGTTGCAAAGCATAGAATTCTCAGATCTTGACTCCAGTACCTTCTGCACTTTCCAACTCCCACTGATGTTAAAACTAAATCATTTAAGAAGGGCCTACCAGAAAGAGCAACATGATATTTGATTCAAAAGTCACTTTTCACCTTGATTTTTCTAACATATAAAAGAGACTTACAAAATATTGGAGGAAAAAATTTAAAAGAATATGTAATTTTTTTTATGATTGCAATACTACAGAATTGCCTTCTGTATTCATTTTCTAGGCTTTCATGACAAAATACCACAAACTGAGTGGATTATACAACAGAAATTTATTGTCTTACAATTCTGGAAGCTAGAAGGCCAAAATTAAGGTGTCAGTAGCAGGGCCGTTCTCTCTCTGAGGGTGCTCAGGAAGAAACTGTCCTAGGCCTCTTTCCTAGTTTCTGGTAGTCCCTTGGCTCGTGGCAGTATGACTTCAATCTTCATATGACATTCTCCCTGTGTGCATGTCTTCCTGTGTGTGTCTGTCTCTTTATCCAAATTTCCCTTTTTCATAAGGACACCTGCCATATTGGATTAGGCACCTACTCCAATATGACTCATCTTAACTAATTCTACTTCCAACAGCCCTATTTCTAAATAAAGTCACATCCCAAGGTACTAGAGGGTTAAGACTTCAACATATGAATTATGGGGGGAAACACAGTTCAGTCCACAACACCCTCCAAAGCAGAGGTTCAACAAAAATGGTATTTTGAGACTGTCCTCAGCACTCAGTACATCTGGGTCACACAGATTTTTATCCTGAAGGAATACTCTTGTTTGATAGTGTTTTTTAATCTTAAAAGCATATCTCAAGGCACAAACACTATATATTTTTAATACCTAAGAAATATACTTTTTAAAAAATATTACAGAACCCACTACTTGGTATCTCAGTATGCAACATTATTATACATCTTTAAACAGGAAAAATTTTATCATACATATACCTTGGAAAGAATTCCAATCTGGTCCAATGATTTTATAGCTAAGGTTTCTGGACAAAAGATATAGTTATCATTTTCTGTCCAAATTTTTAATAAAAAAATAGTAATTTTAAATAGAGCATTGTCATTTTATAGAATAGTTCAAAATTACTTTGAGAAATCAGGACAGCCATTGAACTTTAAGTGTCTGTTATGTTACATCCCAGGTATTATTTATATCTCTATACTTACAGAATGGATATTAAACAATCTTGGAGTAAAATATGGAAGAAAACCTGCTTCAAGTTTGTACCAGATCAATCAAGAAGAAATTTGAAGAACCTTATGTTGAGAGGCATTTATACTTGGCATTTTCTTCTAATGAAAAAATAAAGCTAGTGTGCCACCATCATAACATTTACTTAAATATTTAAGGAATATAGCTCTTATATAAATTAGCACAGAATGCAATATAGATAATATTTATCTCTTCCAAATGTCACTCAGATGATAGGGTTTTTTCCTCTACTGACTTTAAGAGAACATATCAATCTTCTGTCTCATAGAAGTTCTAAATTATAATCTTTTTCTTAAGTATTTTAAGTATCTTTTTTACTTTCTGCTCGTTTCTTCTTTAGGGTTAACCTTTTGTCATCCCATAATGATAATATCAAGCAGATCAAATAAGGATGTTTTTAATCTCTTTGCCATTAACACCCTAAATTATCTTTTAATTCATCTGTAATCTAGATGATAGCTAATTCCTTGACCCTCTCAGACTGTATCCCTAGATGGTAGGTAGACTAAAATCATTGCTAATATCCTTGATTTTAAAATGACAAATAAGTATATATTATCACAGATGCATATATCAAATGCTCGGAACGTTACTAGACAATGGATGTTTTAAGATCATGATTACATTATAGGACAACTATTTACTATAAAATTTGCAATAATAACTTGTTGGTCTGTAATCTCCCAAAAAATCTAACATATGTCAAAGTACAGGAAAGATTCTTTCCTAAAGACCAAGTAGAACAGGAGGTCCTTGGTTTGTATTTATCAATCTGTATGATCTAAAAGAATTTTATCCCTCAACTTGAGCCACTAGGTGGACAGTTACTATAGAAGAAACATTTTACATGGTTTAAAAAATAATAATTTCACTCCTTGATATGGGACCTGAATACCTCTATAAGAGACCCATATATGGATGGGAAGAGCTACCCTTAACAAAGTTCACACTCCTGTCACAGCCACCTAATTAAATATTTTAATTGCAAAATTAGTGTAATATTGGGGCGCCTGGGTGGCTCAGTCTGTTAAGGGTCCGCCTTCGGCTCAGGTCATGGTCCCAGGGTCCTGGGATCAAGTCCCACATTGGGCTCCCTGCTCAGTGGGCAGCCTGCTTCTCCCTCTCCTTCTGCTGCTCCCCTTGCTTGTGTTCTCTCTCTGTCAAATGAATAAATAAAATCTTTAAAATCTTAAAAAAAAGAAAATTTGGGAAGTAGCTTTAATTACATAATTCAATAAAATAAGCAAAAATTCGTTGAATTATTTAAGTCCAATATTCGACATCACTAGCAAAATCCTTCCTAAGGGACTTTGCTTTGTAGCCACTGTATTAAAGAATACCAGGTTTCTAGAATGCCAGGGTAGCTTACAAAACAGAACAGAGATCCCATCAGCTCCTTGTGGCACATTCTGTGACTGCACCAGTCAGAGCTGTCCCTTGATCTGTCCTCTCTAACCACTCAATGTATAATTTATTCCTTAAAAGAAATGCACTAAAAATCTGAGGCTCATTATATTACAGTCGTATAAATAGCATTGTGCTTATCATCAAAGCATCAAATCAGAGCTTCATCATAGGTGCTATTTTATTTTAACTGTTTTAAGCAGCCTCACCTCCTACAGCCCAAGTAATCTAGCATTCGTAAACATCTTCAGCACCCCATAGGAGCCTTCCAGTTCAATAGGTGATCTTCAGTCAGGTGTCGTTGAGATAAATGGAAACAAATACTTACGTAGCATCTTGCAGCTTCCATCTTCAGGAAGTTCCACCGATGAAATTAGGTGATCCAAAAAAAAGTTTCTGAGATTATCAACTATTTAAATTATGCCTCAGACTACCCAAACTGCCAGATGATTGGGAGCTAAGGCATATCAAAGGAGTTCAGCACATCGCATCCAGGTTCAGATAAAGTCTAGCGAAGAGTGGTGACAAACGCATGCTTGGGAGTGATAAGGCCTGTGTTTGTATCCTGGCATGGACGCTGCCCTACGATCTGTCCTATTGCTGCTGTAGTAAATTCCTGCAAGTTTAGTGGCTTAAGACAACACAAACTTATTATCCTACAATTCTGGAAGTCACCAGTCCTAAAGTCAAGGTGTCCGCAGAGCCACATTCTTTCTGGAGACTCTAAAGGAGAATTTGTCTCCCTGCCTTTTCCAGCTTCCGGAGTACCTGGAATTCCTTGGCTTGTGTCCCCTTCCTCCCATTCCATCTCTAAAGCCAGCAACGTAGCTTCTTCAAGCCTGTCCCTCTGTCTCTCTCTCTCTCTCTCTGTCTTTCTCTCTCTCTCTCTCACACACACACACATATGCACATACACACATACACACATTTTCACATCCACTGTAAGAAGTGGTTATCACAATGTAGACACACAGATTCCGGAACCCAAACTTTCATATGCCTAAGAGAATCTTTAAAACTGGGTTAAGAAGATCAGCAGAGCAAATATCCCCTTCCACGCCAAGATATGCCCCCTTCAAAGTCCATATGGAACAGTGAGACCCTTTATTTCTAAGTCCTAACTGAAGCACATATGTGTACAACACACAACACACACACACACACACACACACACACACACACACACACACACTTGCTAAAATGCAATTTGTCTTTCTCCAGAAAGTAAAAGGCTGCACCCATCCTTCTATGCTTTTGAAATTGTAGTCCCTAAGACTCTCTCAGCTTCAAAGCTTACCATTCAACTTCCAAGCCACCCCCTTCGTCAACAGGGGAACAAATAGAGCTTTTTGTGTGTGCCAAGCATTTGTTTCACATTTGCTGGGCAAAAAACAAAGGAACAGAGAGCTCAGAACCAACACAGGAAGTGCCCAGGCCAGTTTGGAGAGGCAAAGAATGTTGCTGAGCCAGGTTTGAATTTGCATTTCACTCTTTTAGTAATTCATTTATTCTGAATGGTGAGAAGCAGATATAGAATTAAATTAATACTCACCACTTATTACTCTGTAACAAATGTACTTCCTATATACGAGTAGACAGTCCTATATAATTTGCTTCTAAAAGAAGTATAGGAGCAAGTGACTAATTCCTAATCGTTTGTACAATTAGTAAAAAGACATATATGGCATTCCAGAGACTGTTACCCATTTCCTTCCTTCTATTATAAGGAAATCTTGGTGGGCCTAGAATCTCTACCAACATAATAGTGGCCTGGAAATTTCTGTTTAAACATTCAAAGAATATGAAATGTGTTACATCCTAGCCTATTTTGGCTGCTTGCCATGCTTAAATTTTAGACACCAAGCCAGGCAGCTTAGCTCTAAAAGCCACTTCTTTCCGCCCCATTTTGAGGTGCTTGCTGGCCACAAAACACTGCTCATATCTCAGAGCATCTTTGCCCTGGAAAGTGGCTCCCATCTCCTCAGGAAGACTCAGATGAGATAAGCTGATGCTTTCAGGCCATTTTCTGATATATTTACTTCATAGCGTCCTCTGTAGACCAATATCTCTGTCTCATTCTCTGTTTTATTCCCAGTGGTGTTTCTCCTTTCTGTCAATGTACAGGTCTGCTTCTTGCCCAAAATAGGAAAAAAAAAAAAAAAAAGGCAGGGAGGGAGACTAGGAAGAGCTCAACAAAAAAGAAAGAAAGGCATCACAAATTGGCCACCAAAGAATTTATTGAGTACCTACTGTATGCCTGGCACTTTACACAGTCAATATACAAATTAGATAAGTTAATCTTCATATCATACCTAAACGACTTAACCTGCATTTTTCAGAGGACGAAACTGAAACTCAGTGAAGTCAAGAAACTTACTCAGAGTCACACAGCTAAGCAGTGGTAGAGCTAGGTCTTTCCACTTCCCCATTAACATTCAACCACTGTGATTTGTAATTGAAATCAGAAAACAAGATTATTGAGAATACAGCCTAACAAACTATCTTAAGGATCCTGTAGGGGTGGTTAGCTCATGAGGACAGTGTGGTACTAAAGAAATCCAGATTGTGGATTTCACTGAGCCCTGACCCCGCCTTGAGTTTAAGCAGGAAGCATATGGAAAGAGTGCTGAGATATCAACAAAAATCCATTCCTTACCAAGAGGATAAGCCAAGAGGTCAGAGAGGAGGAATGGTGCAGTCATAGTTGTGGATGGTGCCAGAAAGGGTTAACACCAGGATTTCTCTGCCACTTTGTTGACTTTCCTAAACTATCTGGGTTAAGAGATCCCAGGCCAGGAAGCCACCAGGCCAGGCCAGAAGCCAGCTCTCAGGTGCTTGAGCTGGTGGAGAGGCAGGGCTGGAGGGACCTTCCCTAATTGAAATTTTCCATTTCTCACGATGAGCTAGTCATACCCTGGTGACTTGCACTGTAAGAGAAAGAAAGATGAAGAGTTACAAAGCTTGCCTTTTGCATTCTCATTTGCCTACTTTACATCTGAACAAATTATTTCTGCCTTCATTAGAGTATATAATACAATGTAATCAACCTGCTAGGAAGTTAAAGTGTAGCCATTTTATGGTTTGTTACAGTGAAATTTAAATTTGCATATTAAGCAGCAAAGGCATTAACATGTGTACCTATTCATCAGCTCTGGATTGTAAAATACTTCTCTGGTGTGAGCCCAAATAGCAAGCCATTTTCTGATTGAACTGCTTAATTAAATAAAAGATGATTAGCAGCATCCCTTTATATCCTGTATACTTTAGTAGTTCGAAATTTAAAACACAAAGACATTAGAAACTTTTCCAAATCTTTCTCATAACTGTTTTGCAAACATATCTCTGAATATGGTAGACTCATCTCTGGAAAAACGGTGCTGTAAAATATATCTCTCTATAAATAAGGCAAAGCAATAAAGTAAATAGTACCTGAATTCATATTCGATTTTATTATTTTAATTTTACTTAAACTTTCATCACTGGTGAGGCTGGTCTAAGTCGTATTTTGTGTACTGTGCCAAAATAAAGGAAAACAGCAAACGTTTTAGTCTAAATGCAGACCATCTTTAGAAATCATTGGTGAGCTAAGTTAATTTGATACTTCTTTTTTTCATTAGTTTTTGATGTAGTGTTCCATGACTCATTATTTGTATATAACACCCAGTGCTCATCGCAATATGTGCCCTCCTCAATACCCATCACCAGGCTAACCCATCCTCCACCCCCCTTCCTTCTGAAACCCTCAGTTTGTTTCCCAGGGTCTGTAGTCTCTCATGATTTGTCTCCCCCTCTGATTTCCTCACCTTCATTTTTCCCTTCCTTCTCCTAATGTCCTCCATGCTGTTTCTTATGTTCCACATATGAGTGAAACCATATGATAATTGTCTTTCTCTGCTTGACTTATTTCACTTAGCATAATCCCCTCCAGTTCCATCCATGTCCGTGCAAATGGTGGGTATTCATCCTTTCTGATGGCTGAGTAATATTCCATTGTATATATGGACCACATCTTCTTTACCCATTCGAAATGGGCAGAAAACATGAACAGACACTTCTTCGAAGAAGACATACAAATGGCTAATAGACACATGAAAAAATGTTCAACATCATTAGCCATCAGGGAAATTTCAAATCAAAACCACACTGAGATACCACCTAACACCAGTTAGAATGGCAAAAATTAACAAGGCAGGAAACAACAAATGTTGGAGAGGATGTGGAGAAAGGGAAACCCTCTTACACTGTTGGTGGGAATGCAAGATGGTGCAGCCACTTTGGAAAACAGTATGGAGGAGGTTCCTCAAAAAGTTAAAAATAGAGCTACCCTATGACCCAGCAATTGCACTACTGGGTATTTACCCCAAAGATACAGAGGTAGTAAAAAGAAGGGGCACGTACCCCCCAGTGTTCATAGCAGCAATGTCCACAATAGCCAAACTGTGGAAGGAACTGAGATGCCTTTCAACAGACAAATGGGTAATTTGATACTTCTAACCTACACTACAACCACAAAATCCTTCAGCACCCAACTGAAACTTATTTTTAAAAAATAACTTCAGAGCAGTGAGTGAGTTTATCTTAACCTTTTCCATCTCTGATAGTATTGACCACAGGCTTAGATCTCCTTGACCTGAGTGAACCCGTCTCTCAAACCCAAACCAAAGCCAAGAAGTTGGAGGCCTCATCAAAAACCTCATCCCTCAAGAAAAAGGCTGATGGATCTGATCTCATCAGTGCAGATGCTGAGCAGAGAGCCCAGCCTCTCCGAGGCCCAGAGACATCATCCTTAGATTTAGGTAAGGTAATAGCATATGTCAGCTGCTGCTGGCCCTTGCCTTAATACAAGGAAGTTCAACAAATGACATGAAAACCATGGGCAAAGGAGTAGAAAAGATTAATTCCATGAAGGAATATGGGCAGCGCATACTTCTTTTGTGCTTGAATTAAATAGCATTTGGGGAGCTCAGTTTTGTATAACTATGTGGGTCCATTCATTTATTTATTCAACCTACCTGTGTTGAATTCTTGACAGATGGCAGGTACCCTATGAGGCACTGGAGTTACAAGTAAGAATGAGACATGAATCTTGCTCTCTAGGAGCATTTAGTCTAGAGTGGGAGATAGCCAGTCAAGAGACAGAAAAAGAGAGAGGGATAGAACAGCTTTAACACAAGGTCCAGGAACAGCCAGCCAGAACATGTAACATGCATGGGGATATATCTGATACAAGAATAACAGCTACCATTTATTGATGGCTTATCACGTCCAGGACTATGCTACATGATTCACATGCATTAGCCCATTAATTCAGCGAAAACTTAAAATTTAAATAACTTGCCCAAGATCTCAGTTAGTATGAGGAAGACCTAGAATCTGAGCATGTTCTGATTAACTTCCAAAAGCCCATACTTTTATCTACTATCCGTCTTCCTGAGAAAGGAGAGCTTAGCTTCATCTCGTGGAACCAATCAAATTATGGTCTCCTTTCTCAGGAGAAAGAAAAGTGGCAGATAATTCAGAAAGCCAAGGGCAACATGTCCCCTCTCCCCTGCCATGTCCCTCTCCAAGACCTGTCTCTTTAGAGGAAAGCTTTATAACTATCTCCAATACTTCCTCACTATCAATGTGTTCTAGGTTTTTTTCAGTTGTACAGATGAATAATGAAATTTACACACTTATATAAGGATATATTATTAAATGCATTACAATGTAACACAATAAACTTAAAAGTGAAACTTTCATTTCTCTCCTTTTGAGAAAATGTCCTGTGAAGAAGTCATAAAAATACTTAAAGAACTTTGGAGGACACCGACTGCAAACCTATCTTTTTAGAAATGAAAAAACTGGCCCCCAAAGTTGTTTAAGTGATTTATTTACAGTCACACACCTGTTAATGAGAGCAAACCCAGCCAAATTCCTTATCTGTAAGAATTAAACCACAGGGAGAAAATGGTTCTAGCATTCTCTTGGCTTTCTCCATCACCTCCTTTCTATTCCCATTATTCATTCCCTCGTTTGATGAAAAATTAAGCAGTTTTACAGAAGCTGTGAAAAGTGTTCCATTTCCTTCTCACCTCTTTTTAACAGTGAGGTTCATCTCTTTAAACAGAATTTCTTTCTAGAAACTTGCCAGAAGTGCCTCAAAGCCACCTCCTCAGCTGGAGGCAGCTAGGATAGTACTCCATATGTTCATTCCCATGGGTTTCCATGGATTTAGACACAGAATTCAGAATGCACATAGTTCTTGAAATAAATTCAGGTAAACAATTTGATTGTTTAACTAAAAGCAATCCAATTTCTTTTACTAGGTCTCATTTTTATTTAGCTAAACATGTTTTAATTGATTTTCATGAATCTTAAAATGTTGGTGTTGGGTTTAGGAGCATCAGCTGAGTGAAGTTCACTTATATAAGACTTCTGAATCTTTATTTCTCTTCTTCTCTCTGCACCTCATAATCCACTGTCGCCATTACCCCTTTCCTATCTCCTTCACAGACATTCAAACACAACTGGAAAAATGGGATGATGTTAAGTTTCATGGAGATCGAAATAGCAAAGGGCATCCAATGGCAGAGAGAAAATCATGCTCATCTAGAACTGGATCAAAAGAACTCTTATGGTAAGATATTTTAATATCAGAAAATAGCTAATGGTGTGTCAGCTGTATGGGTATTTCTCCTGGGTGCTGAAATAGCCAATGAGTTAAGTCAATCCAAATACTTGGTGCCATATATAATTATGTATCAATGTTAATTGTTATGGCTTCTAAAACTAAGTATTTCATCTGCATTGTCAAAAATTAAGCCAGAAATGATTTGGGTAGACTCATAATTCAGTATTCAATATTTGTTCAGTATTTGTTGATAATTATTTGAATGTGTAACTGAGCTGATCAATAAAAATAGGTTCATACATGTATGTACATATATGTGCATATTCAATATATTACATGAATGGTAGTTAAAGTAAATGTTTCTGGTTACACAGGTCACCTTTTCTGACTATCTTAATCATCACTGTCAGATTAATGCACTAATTGAGAATAACCTGTGGATACCCATGAAAAAAATTGGCTACCTGAATTTTACCATGCTTTTCGAGCTTCCTAAAGGGCAGCATGTCTCATTCTTCTGTTGCCCCTTGCACATCTCCATTTATTATGACATTTCAAGTTCTATGTAAAGATCAAATCACACCAGGAACACTTTGTGAGATGCTCCCCTCCCCAAAACACAATGCTTTCAATAAAGCAGAACTGTTGGTAACAAAACTGGGATTCCATTTATTTACTGTTTGTACATAATTGAACCGAATTCTAAATCAGAGATAATTACAGTTAGCACATTGCAACCCCTTAAATTTCAAAAGTGGTCATTGTAGAAGTTATCTTTTTCATCAAAATTCTGATAAGAGCTTTGTTATCATGGCTCTCAAAGATTCAAATGAACTAGGTTTCTTGACTGGTTTTCTAGCTGAGTTTGTTTCTTGGTATGCATTGATCTTTATTCATCCCCTATAGGTCCTCAGAGCACAGATCTCAACCAGAACTAAGCAGTGGGAAAAGTGCCCTGAACTCCGAGTCGGCTTCCGAGTTGGAATTAGTGCCTCCAACACAGGTAAAAAAAAAAAGAGAGAGAGAGAGACATTCCTTAATGAACCCACCTTTTTTACTTTTTTTTTTTAATTTAGAGAGAGAGTGTGTGTGCGAGTGGGGGTGGGGGGCAGGGGGAGAAAGAGAATCCCAAGCAGGCTCCACACCCAGCAAGAAGCCCAAATGGGGGCTCGACCTCACAACCCCGAGATCATGCCTGGAGCCAAAATCAAGAGTGTGATGCCCAACCGACTGAGCCACCCAGGCATCCCAAACCCACCTTTTCTAATAGATAATTTATAGCTTAAATATTTTATTTAGATTTTCACAAAAATTTTGAAGTATTTTTCTATATTCTGTATTTCATATGCTTTCTCACTCAATAATCTGTCTCGAAGCTTGAGATAACTGATGATATATATTTTTTATACATATATATTTGGCTAGTTAACTGATGATAAATATATATATATATTTGGCTAGAACATGTCTTAATGAAATCACTATATATTTAGCACTTTTTCTTTTTTCTACCATTTACTGTTCCATCATTTTGCAATACAAAATCTCTCCTACTCCAGTATTAGCAATATTTATACAACAGGCAAACACCAAGAAGAGGAACTTACATATTAAGTGCTCATTCACATGTATGCCCTGTGGACCCAGGTGCTTACATATCAGGATCCTGACTGTCATATTAAAATAAATTTTACGTTAAGGAATAAATAATTACAGCATAAGCAGTAATGATAATACTAAGAGCAACCATTTGTGAGTAGCCACTAAGTATTAGGGACTTTACTATGTGCTTTTCATATGTTATATCTAATACTCAAATAATCCTATGAATTATTATTATACTCATTTTTTTATTTTTTTAAGATTTTATTTATTTATTTGACAGAGAGGGACACAGCGAGAGAGGGAACACAAGCAGGGGGAGCGAGAGAGGGAGAAGCAGGCTTCCCGCGGAGCAGGAAGCCCAACGTGGGGCTCGATCCCAGGACCCCGGGATCACAACCTGAGCTGAAGTCAGATGCTTAAAGACTGAGCCACCTAGGTGCCCCTATCCTCATTTTTTTAAAGATTTTGTTTATTTATTTATTTATTTATTTATTTATTTATTTATTTATTTAAGAGAGAGAGCGCAAACAGGGGAAGGGGCAGAGGGAAACAGAGGAGCAGACTTCCTGTTGAGCAGGGAGCCCGATGCGGGGCTCAATCCCAGGACCCTGGGATCATGACCTGAGCCGAAGGCAGATGCCTAACTGACTGAGCCACCCAGGCACCCCTTATTAGCCTCATTTTAAGGTCCTTTAAAAAGTTTTGGTGAAGTCAAAATCTTTTTTCTGGGGTACCCAACTAATCACTGGTGGAAGAATGGCATGAGCCAGACCTGCCTGTCCACTGCTTGACCCTCAACTCCAGTGTAACTGGCTTGTCTATAACTAATTATCTCCTTTGGGTAAGACTGTCAAGAAGGCCAAAGTCAGTCTCAATTTTTTTATTCGCTCAAACACTTTATAAGGGTACAGCCTTGATCTAAAACCACAAAGCTCTCTGAAGAAATGTGTCCACATTTATGCAGTCTACAATCTAGTTAAAAATAAGTGAGATGAAGTGAGCAAGAAAAATTTTCTTGAGTCTACTAAATCAGATATTGAAACTAAGAGAGGAGATGTGTTATCTGAGGTGAAGTAAAGGGTTAATTATGATAATAGCAAATATTACTGAGTGCTATGATAAAGTCTTCTAATACATGTTAGCTCATTTGATCCTGACAAATGTCTGTATGAGGTAAGTTTATTTATTACCCCTATTTTGTAGATGGGAAACTAAGGCACAGTGACATTAAGAAAATTGTCTATGCACCCAGAACCAGTATGTGGCATAGAGAAGGAGGACACACACAGATAGGAAATGTTGAGGAAATGGAAGTCCTCTGGAAACTTTTCTAGGCCACTAAGAGAACCGCCCCCTCTCCCCATTTCTATATTCACTGGAGAGGGGTGGACATTACTGCTCCTAGGACTCTGCTGGAAGACAAGTCAACTCACTTCCAGAACAAATAACCCTGGGAAGCTTAATGAATTGTAAATGTAGCATGAAAATATATTTTCATCCTCTGTGTTCATTCTAAATGTATCTTTTTTTTAATTGATAACATTTATTAGAGAAACATTTCTTGTTAAGTGCTTAGAGATTTAGATTCAGCTAAAGCAATTGGTACTGTTTCATAACCTGGATCCTTGGAACAATTTAATGTAGCAATAGAACATTTGTTTCTTCAGCAGGGGGAGATTTGGCACAGGTGGGCTGTTCTACACAATGCTGGAGGGGCAGAGGATCAGCTGGGGTCCTCGGTTGCTGTGGAGACCCACAATGCATTTATCTTATTATTTTCCTGCTGGTTGTCTGATTTCATCCCACCACATTGTCCTTCCACATGCCCACTGGTGTGCCTTTAAGCAAACACATCGTGCTCTGGACAATTTGTGTGAGATTCCCAATATTGTCATCCAAAACACAGTTTAAAGTGCACTGTGACAGTTCTCTGTCTAGATAAATTGTAATGAATCCTTTAGAGGGTTACCAATTATTTGTAAAGAATTTGTCACTTAATTTGCTTTTTTAAAAACATTGCATATTGAGGCACCTGGGTGACTCCATTGGTTAAGCCTCTGACTCTTGGTTTTGGCTCAGGTCGTGATCTCAGGGTCATGGGGTCGAGCCCCACGTCCGGCTCCACGCTCAGCTTGGAGTCTGCTTGATAGTCTTTATTGGTCCCCCTCTGTTCCTCCCCTTGCTCACGTTCTCTCTAAAATAAATAAGTAAAAAATTTTTTAAAAACACTACAGTATGTTTATTAAGATTTGCCTAAACTAAGAAAATTCACAATTCCCTAGTTTTAAGTCCAGCCTATGGTTTAATTAGGACAATATAATGAATTGGAAATTTAATTATTTAAAATACTAAATCACTCAAATAAAACAGCAAGAGAATAGACTGATTAATTGTAATAAAAGACAGAAAGGTGTTTTTACTGTTACAAACATACTGCCCTTAAAAATATATGATCTCTCTAGGTAGATAAGATGATGAAGGTGGTATAAAAATTCAACTTAAAACTGGCTTGCAGGGAAGCCTGGGTGGCTCAGTCGGTTAAGTGTCTGCCTGCGGCTCGGGTCATCATCCTGGGATTGAGCCCCGCATCAGGCTCCCTGCTCAGCAGGGAGTCCACTTCTCCCTCTGCCCCTTTCCCCTGCTCATGCTTGCGCTTTCTCTCTCTCAACTAAATAAATAAAATCTTTTAAAAATAAAATAAAATAAAACTGGCTTGCAAACTATTCAAGTAAACAATTTCAGCTTACCAAAACTTGTCACTGCTCCACTATCACACAGATGGCTCATGGGAAAATCAAGGAAATGTTTTCTTCTCTCTCAAGCCAACATAAACTATCTCGGGTGCAATAGGTGAGGAGCTATTTACAAGCCTTATTTAAAAATCACATTTCAAAAAAAAATCATATTTCAGAATCACAAAGAAAATGGAGTGAACTCCTGTTAGCCCATTTTCTTTTCAAGATGGAGAAAAGGAAAAATGTAGTCTAGTCCTCTTTCAAATAGTGTTTTCAATACACTAATCAGAGTGGCAGGAGATTATAATAAATCATATAATCTCTATGTACTTAAGAATAAAGTTTCTTGACACTTTTGCAACTCTGTAATTAATAGTCCCTGGAGTTAATCATTTAAAGGAATCATACAATCTGAAAAATTAGAAAACATTTGAAGAGTTGAAGAAAAACACAAGTAATGATATAAAATGAGCTTTTTCTAATATATGGGTTGAGAGAGTGGTGAGGCAAAAGCAAATGAATCCAGCTTTTGCTGGAAAGTGATGGTTCAAACATTTCTTTGTCCCGTCTGGACACTGGAAGGAAAGCTCCAAGACAGGTTCTTGCCAACCTAAGTTGGACTTAATGAGAAGGTGCAGGAACCAGGCTCTCTAGTACGTGGTCATAGTCATGCAACTCTCTGATTTTGCTGACTTTGGCACAGCAAATGATTCTTTCCATACTGTCATAATTCCATCAAGTTGGCAGCATCCCAAACCAGAACAATTGAGACTTTAAGATATAAGTGCAGATATGTTTTCTAAGTTTTTAAAGGAGCAATAAAAGAAAGGCATGCTGATACTTGGCCAATTACATACTTCATGCATATAATAGGAGGTATTTCTAAGACGTTTTTGAAATTCTCACAATAATCTTGGGAATTAATATCTCTGTTTCTCACATGAGAAATTCATCTTAGAGAGAATTAGCTAAGGGGCAGAAAAGCCAGGACTCAAATCATACCCATCAGCTTCTAAAGCCCCTGTTCTTAACCACATACCACTTCATATCGGCCTCATCAAACTTATTCACCTGAGAGAACTCACAGACCATCTATTTCCCTTCTCATTGCAAACCCTGATTAGTACTTACATTTCTAGGATTAATATGAGTTAAGTGATTTTAAAGAGTATCACTTTCTTCCAGAAACACTGTAAGATAAATTAGGACTGTTGTCAGATCTTCGGCCATACACAATTTTGTGCCTCCCCTCCCAGATTCCTTCTGAACCTCTAACTCTTTGAAATACTGATGGCTTGCATTTCATTCTATTTCAGTTCAGCAAATGTGATTGAATGTCTACTATCCACAAGCCATAAGTGAAGCAGTGAAAAGGTTAGAAAGAGGAATTCAATTATAAGAAGTATCAAGACCTTTATGTCTATTAGAAACAATTAGACAGTACACTTTCTAATACAGTTTTGCTTGTTGGAAGATAGTACAAGAGCCACATCGACATCCCTTTTCCCTTCCTGACCGTACGCAGTGGGCTACCAATGAGGAAAGAAGCAAGCAAAGACAGAAGGAAGGAGCAAAGGAAAGGCAGCAGGGCAAGAACCACGGGAAGGCAAGGAGGAAGGAAAGAAATCTGAAAGATCACTTTCAGGATAGTAGGCAATCTGCA